GTTGCTGGATATTGAGGGATACATGATTAGGAGGCCTAAGCAGAGATTACGTATGCAACTTCGTCCTTCTTTGCTTCTCATATATCGAACTTAGTATAGGTTTACTTTTCTGCACGCTTTCCTTCTTTTCATTCTAGTTTTGCAAAACCAGAGGCACCTCAACTTCCTACACATGTTTCTAAACAAATAGAACCGTACCTTGCCACAAAAGTAAGGGTTCTACGAGAGACCCTAGGATGATCCTAGCCTTCGGACCATGTAAATTTGGTATGTACTACAATTGACGACATTAGTATGATAGTGATATGATATTGGTATTATATCTTATGTCTGAAAAAATCAATGTTGTCAAAACCAAACCGGACATCTATCCGAATTAATGAGAGGTTAAAGGTTTATTGGATAACCGTTGATTAACCGGTATTAAAACAGTTCATAATGAAAATTATAGAATCAGAATAAAAAAAATCAAAACGTTAAGAATATTGGGTTGTAGGTACTAGGGCAGGTAGGGTCGCATTTATTTTCCCCTCATATGGTTTCCTTTCTATTATTATTTATTTAAAATATAGCAGAAAGTAGGGGCCATTTAAATTCCCCAGCACGCCCGTTTTATGGCTTCTAGGGCCGAACTTATGTCCGGGTTTGGTTTTTACTGGTCTGACCGTCTGGTTCGGTCTGGTTTTCATAACATTGGAAAAATAATTTAATGACATCATATGACAGTGATATGATGTGCAATCACTCTTACCATATTATTAAGATCATGATAGGACAACTATAAGATTACAACAAACACATGTTTTTGAAGGACTAATTTTTTTATTTTCTTAAAATATAGAAAAAATGATATCATATGTTGTTATATTATGATGACATGACAATGATACGAGTACAATCAATACATCTTTTAAATGAATAATATTTTTCTCAAAATATATCAAAAGTGATATTATTGTGTAGATCATAATTAATACATTCTTTTTATATATTTTTATTTTTAATTTTGAGTTAAAACGATATAACCCGATTAAGAAAAATAGAAGATTAAAGAAGTAGACTTCGAATAGTTAAACATCCGATAACACTCAAATTGGTGTTATTTGGAACACATATTTAGGCTAGTTTTGAGTCATTTTATATTCTTCATTGCCAATATATCTTCAAATATGCCATAGATTCGTACCTCGGATGAAATACCGGTATTCTAGAGTGTATTAGATGATATATATGTTTTAGGACCACAATGTGCACAAAAGTAGAGTTATGGACGAAAACTGAGAGATCACGGTTGAAGGTAGGGAGATCATGACCACGAAGTAAGAGTGTGAACCAAGGCTAGAAGATTGCTGGTGGCATGACCAAGATCGAGACCTCAAAGTCTAGAGCCGAGGGCACAAACTTCAGGAGGAGCCAACAAGGTAGGTCCAAAAGTCTCGACAGTCGACTTAAAGGCCTCCATTAGGCTTGTCCGCGATAAAATTCGTGGCCGGGACGTCAAGGATCGCGACCGTGATGTTAGCCCGCTAACCCAACTACTAGCAAGGCATAAATGGCAACCTCAGGATCGCGGCCTCAACCTCCAAGATCATGCCCGTGAATTTTGCCTCTCTGGTCGTGAACTTGCCCGAATCCTAGAAATCTATAAATTGGGGATTCCTCCACCTACATGAGAGAGGTGAAATTAATTGAGAATTTCTGGTTTTAAAAGAGAAAAAGTTAGAGAGAGAAGTTGAAGGAAGGAGAAGAGGAGAAGAAGGAAGGGGGCTTTCTCACATCAGGACTTCTTATGTTTTCTTCCATGTATCTTCTTCCCCCTTTATGGGTAGTTCTCTAGGGTACTAAGGTTTAAACCCGCCAAACCCTAGATTTAGGTTTTGAATGTATATGTAATGGTGTTAGGGTTTATGAATGGATATGTATTTTTAGTGATTATATGCTTCATTTATGCTTGGTTATGCTTGGGTATGTCTCCTAACTCTTCCCTACTACCCTACAATTGAGTTAACAATAGGTGGGAAATTTAGTGTTAGGCTAGGTAGTGTCATATGGCTAATTAAGGGTACATGAATGACTCCTTAGTGGACGACCGAACCCCTCCTATCGGAATGCCCTCCTAAAATAATGCAAGAGAGGTTGCACGTGTTCTAATCGAAACACCGATCTAGTATACATGATAGGTCAAACCTACCGAGAGGAACTATGAGAGCATCCCTAGTACGTAAACTCATACTGAGGTGACATTGGGTCTTTGTGGTCCGTGTTAGGAGGAGGGAGAGTAATCGTTGAAATCTAAACATTAGAGACTTATGCATCTTATCCCATAAACCCAACTTCTTTAGCCATTTGCATGATGAACCTAGTTTAGGGCGAGGGTGGCATCCCGAAGTAACTTACTTTTATCTTTACTTTTTCCACAGGATTTTCCAACTAACCTCAACCCAAAAACCTAAACCGCTTGATTAGATAACAATGAAGGAAGAAGTAGGCTAGGGTATCAAACCCCGTGAAATACGACCTTGGTAGCCACTATATTAGCAATGTCGTTCTGAATTATACTTGACTCATAATGGGGTAGCTGAATAGGTCGTGCAAACTATTGATATAACCCGCACGGGGTAGTAGCACACCAAATTCACCTCTATCCTTTGCGATCCATGATAGGTAATCAGAAAAAAAAGACAAGAACGGAAAATTATCAGGGTGCCCCTCCTTATGCCCTTCTGTTGTCAATGTGGCCTTTGGCTGGTAGACGTAATTTGATGGACGGCTAATGATGAGTTTTTGTATGAGTTTTGTAGTATTGGCTTTTCTACCTATATGTTTCTTTTTATATACTAACTAATAATCTTATATATTTTAAGGCTTGGGTTAGCGTACAAAACCCATTAGTTTTGTTTATCTACAAAACCTAATATATTGGTTGTAATTTGAGAATGGAAGATCAAATGGTCCACTTCATAAATGGATAAAGAGGAAAATAAGGGGCTACTCGAATTCGCTACCCAACTGCCGGGATTTAGAGGGAGGGATTTAAGGTCTTTATCAAATTTCCTACGAAAATTCAACGGCCATAGTGTATTCATTTTACATCGGATTTCAAAAAAATTTGCACAGAAAATCATATTTTTTGTGTTTTACAAGATAATATCCATTTTGATATATTTTGGAGCAAATATTTTCATGTCATCATATCACTGTCATATCACGATATTACGACTAACAATAGTATGATATCAGAGTGGTATGATGTTGATATGATAGTGATAAAATGTTGATATGATATCTTATGTTTGACAAAATAGTTTGATGACAGTGTCATATCATGATATAATCACTATGATATAATGCTAATATCATTATATGATACTGATATGCCGTCGTTGAGGTCTTATGCTTGACAAAACATAACAATATGAATATCACCGTTGAGATCTTAATATTTATATGATGTTCATACCACTGTCATATCATGATATTATCACTATATCATAGCGGTATGATGTTGATATGATAGTGATATAATATTTTATGTTTGACAAAATAATTTGATGACATCATATCTATCTTATTATGATATTATCATTATTATTATATTATATTATATTGATAATATCATGATATGATAGTGGTATAGGGTCTTATGCTTCATAAAACATAACAATATGGACATCACTATGTATATCTTAATGAATGCGTTCTTTCTATACATTTTCTTTTAAATTTTGAGTTGAAATGAATGAGATGGCTCATCATATTACTATCATATCATGATGATATGATATATATAACATTGATAATACTACAATCGACATGTGTTTTGAAGAGTTAATTTTTTCTTTAACATATGCAATTTTTTTAAATTTCGATTTAAAGCAAACACTGTAGGATCCGATTAAGAAAAATAAGGATTATGAAAATTAGACTTTGACTAGTTAGCTGTTTTCTCTCTCCTCTAATTTTTGCATCACGACTGTTAGGCAAAAAGAAGAAGTACACGAAATGACCACTCCGCCCATGTATTTTTTTTTTGTTGCAAATTAATCCTAGGCCATTAGATGAGGGAAGAGATGAAGGGTGGATGATGGAGTTTTGTAATTGTTAAATCACAGGTCTGTCTCTGCGTCCATAAAATTGCAACTCTTTTAAAACTCTTTTAAACTCGTAACTTCCAAACAAGACCATGTGGAATTGAATTGTTCCGTATGCTTATCCCAAGTTAAAAATGAAATTATTATATATTTTTTCAAACGGGGAAAGAAAATCTGGTAGATAAAAATAAAATTTTGGAAGCAATTGTGATCAGTAAACTTATGGTCAATAATCATTTACAACTTGCCACAACATTATTTACAAAAAACCTCTAATATTTTCTCCTATAAATTTTGACTAGTTATATCACTTTCTTTTTAAGTCATAATGTAATTTTTTTGGAAGTTGCAGCAAAAAGATGCAGTATTGGGGGCATTTGCCCTATATGCGCAAATAAAATTAGAGCTAATCCTTAATTGGAGTAGAGTGCAAACCTAAAAGAATTGAAAACCGTTATTCATGAACAAGAAAATATCATCGTGATTTCACTCAGATCTCGATAAAAGACTCAATCAATGAGAAACTAGTTTGAGGAGTTTAGTAAAAAAATTATGGCTACACGCGACAAAGCTGGCCTTTCTTAAAAAAACGAAAAAAGTACTTCGTTGAAAGAGAAGTTAAAGAGAATTCACTCTCAAGAAAAACAAGAAAAAGGGAGTGTTATATGCTAAACATTGATTCTTATTTTTTGTTTTCTTGATTTTTGAACCATATGCATTTAAAATGTGCATGTACGTTTTCTAAAGAATAGAGTTTTATCCTAATCAACCGACTTTATCGAGAACAGTTGCTTTTTTAGTTCAAGATATTGATAGCGAGATCTCGAATCAACTTATTGGTATTATGGTATATCTAAGCACAGAGAGTGAGAGCAAAGATTTATATTTGTTCACATATTCTCTTGCTGGATGGCTAATACCGAAATAGCTATTTATGATACTATGCAATTTGTGCGACCAGATGTACAGACAGTATGCATGGGATTAGCCGCTTCAATGAGATCTTTTATCCTGGTTGGGGGAGTTACCAAACATTTAGCATTCCCTCATGCTTGGTGCCGATGAGTTTTTGTGTTTGTATTTGATAGAAAAAATAAAACTATGCTTTCGCCACATGCATTATGAATATTAAGGGGTCGTTTGCTTCAAGGATTTGGTACATGGATTTGGTACCAAAAAACCAACTATCAAGGATTTAGGTACAATCCGTTGTTTGCTTGCACCTTTTTTGGAGACCAAATCCGTGGGGCCCACGGATTTTAAGGGTCCAAATCCGTGGACCCTACGGACTTATAAATCCCACATGTTGATGTGGGATTTGGAATATGGCATAAATCCTTGATGAGATTTTACCCATATACCCTCATGCACTTTTAATATTCCAAGGTTGCCCTCAAATTTAACTATTATACATTATAATTAACAATAAATGAATAATATAAACGTTCAATTAATGTGCAAACATGAGTTAGATTTTTTATATCATTTCTTGTGTTCTAGTTTTCTTTGACCTTTTCATAGAACGTGTAATTCTTTGTTCTCACGATTCTAATATATGTTGTTATATGTTACTTTTGAAAAGGAGGACAAAGAATTGGTAATTGATTATGTTACGTTAAAAGTTAAAACGGAATTTTCTCGTTTATTATTATTTTCCATGTGGCAACATTATGCTTATTAGTATGTATTGTCATTGTTTTGTGTACATATCATAAACATGTCAAACATATAGAAAATGATAGTAAGGTAATTTTGAAGTTTTGTCCTTGTTTTGTGTACATATCATAAACATGTCAAACATATAGAAAAGGGCAGTAATGTAATTTTTGACTTCAAGTAGTAAATCCCACACCTTTAAATCCATGATAAAAACATCCCAACAAACAAAGGATTGTTACAAATCCATGATGCCTCAAATCCTTGATAAATCCTTGGGTTTTTAAATTACAAAACCCTCATTTTTAAATCCATGAAGCAAACGACCCCTAAATAATAATAGCATGGCATTATGAATTTGATAGAAAAAAAAATTGTGGTTACCTTTTAATATTAAATTATGTATCAAAAGAATAGTATAAGATGTGAGGCTATTTCATATTAATCTTATTTATTGCAAGCCCTTTTCAACGTTACAAACTTTTTTGTTTTCACGTCGGAACGCTCTCAATACTCTTTATATTATGAAAGAGTACAAAATCAAAATTCTAAGCCTTTTTAAGTATTTTTTATTTGAAAAATAAACTTTGGGATTGTTAAATCGCCAATAAAATAAAGCAGCGAGGTCACCGTAGTATTTTGGTTTTGGATATGCCTATGGTGACTTGGAAGTCACCGTAATTAACTTGGAAAAAACGGTCGACCTATTTCACCAAGTGGTCTACTACTTGAGTCAATCAGTCTACCGCTTTTGAAAATAGATCAACTTGATGGCACACTTACCTTCAAATGGTCAACCTCTTCCACCAAACGGTCGTTCACTTTCCAAGAAAATGGTCTAGCACTTCCACCTAGTGGTCCACTACTTGAGTCAATCGGTCCAGCGCTTCCGAAAATTGGTTGACCTAAAGACACATACCTTCAAATGGACGACCTCTTACACCAAGTGGTTGACCAATTTTCAAGAAAATGGTCTATCACTTCCACCAAGTGATCTACCACTTGAGGCAGTCGGTTACAAGACAATGATAGGATAACAAACAAGCAAAATTAAAATTTGAAGGAAAATGAAAGTTTCTATAGAGTAAGCCAAATAGAGTAATTAATTATGATTATGCCACTAGCAATTGTTCATCAGGTCGACCAGTTATTGAAAGTGGTAGACCGCTTGGTGAAAGAGGTAGACCACTTGAAGGAAGTGGCAGACCTTTTTCTTGTTAAGTGGTCAACCTTTTAGTCGAAGAGGTTGACCGTTTGAAGAAAATAGTAAAATGGAAAATAACACATCTGGTCGACCATTACAACAAAGAGGTCAACCATTTTGTCCAAACAGGTCGACCACTTGCAAGTCACCATCGGTATTTTCACTCCAACCAAGGGAAGGGTGGTTATTGGACTATTTACCGATATAGGCCCGATAGACTCTATTTTCTTAGATAAAAGGAAAAGTACAAGTGAATCTATTACAGAGCCATATGCAATACGCAAACAATGCCTGTACGTTTTTCACGGCTCAAGTTAGGGTGCATAACCATGGGCTATGCACCCATCAATAACCAAATCTGGACCATTCATTTAGAAAATCCAGATCTAAGGATGGGGAATTAAAGACCATTTTTATTTTCACTAGCTTTCTTAATTGACTCATATCTTTTTCGTTTTAACTCGGATTTTAATTTTTTTTTGCACAGATGGAACGAGTTCATCGTGCTCTACAAAATGAGATCAATTTTCAATATTTTTTTAGGGAAAAAAAAATTCTGGCCTCTCGGTACCAACTGCATACCATATGGTATCTTCTTCGTTTTTAATTCGTTTTTGAAAACGTTTGCACAGCAGGGACGAGTTCATCATGATCTATTGGATCTACAAATTTCTGGGTGAACAAATTACAAGACAAAAAAATACCATACAATACCACCCTGGTACGGGGTGGTATCTTATGGTATCTTATGGTATACAATGTTAAAAGTCGTAAATGACAATTAATATACTTCTACTATCATGTATTCAACCATCCTACAGTTTTGGTTTGTGTCATACCACCATTGTACGCTTTTCAAACCATAGATATGCTCTTATTTCAATACTAGTCAATACCATATGGTATAGACTGGTATAAAATGACTCAATTTTTTTTGTTCGAAATATATATCAAATTGGATATCATTTTGAAAAGCACAATTAATCTAATTTAACTGTGTAAAAAAAATTAAATTTCGACTTAAAACGAGTGAGAAATCGCCCGTCAAAGATTAAGGAGGGAAAAATAAAGGCTTTCCAACGACGGCGACCTGTTCTCTGTTGACAGCGAGGCAGGGGAAGAGAGAGGGTCTATTGGGTGGAGGCCTGGAGGGTACGCCGATCAAACCCAATGGTGCTGATACATTCCATGTGGCTTCAGGAAGCTATCCCATGTATCAGGTAGTGTCGATTCGACCTGAATCGCGGGATCGAATTAGAGCTCAAATGCCCCTGGAAACGAGTATATTAGTTGGGCCATTTGGACATGATTCGATCCAAACTGGAGATACAAAGTTGATGAGGGAGTGTAGTTATCGTCAATTGAGTCCAGAGATCCCCGAATTAAAAATTCCCAATCCTCGATTTGGATTTCTGGGTTCTTCAGTTTCAAATGGCAGTAATGGCGGGAAAGAATGGTGGAACGATTCGATGTTGCTGACGACGAATCGATGCTGGAGAACCCTCCCAAAACTCAATTCGAGTGTAGACAAAGCCAATGCCGATGACAAATTGAGCTTCAGATGCGCGAAACAAAAATCCCCAATTTGGGAGTTGAATAACAGTAACAGTGGCATATTTTTCCAGAATCCGCTGTCTGCGCACCATTCTTTCGATCCAATCTGGGATCGATTTGTTGAGAGTTTCGATCAAACGAAGACCAAAGCTTTGAGGTCAAAGCTTTTTCAACACGTGGTGGCATGATATAATCCTGGAATCCATTCATATCAATTAAGATCCATTCATATCAATTAAGGAGTGATCATCAAAGTAAGCAAGTCCACCAGAAACAAAGGATACAAATTTTGGCTAAGTGTTTTTGTTGTTTCAGGAAACCAACTTTGGGAGGTCGTAGCTTGCACATCACGTAATGAAAATGGGAGGAAGAAAGCTTGTTTTAAACACTGGGAATTGCTATACAAGCTAGAGGGTTTGAATGTTCAGGAAGAAGCCTGGAAGTGCATTGTCGAAGCTCTCAAAGTGGCTAGACCAAAATCGGGAAATGGCTTGTTTTTTGCTAAGGCAAGGGACGGGTTCGAGGAGCCATCTTTGAAGCTCTATATCTCAAGTCTGGGGTACCATCAAGAGCTGCTTCAAGTTGGAATACAAAGAAGAACACTTCCTAAACCCAGGACTGGAATTGGCTGAGAACGACGAGGTCAGGAAGGTCATTGTCGAATTCCTCAAAGTAACTAATGAACTCGACTGTAATCCGTGTAGCACTAGGATTCCGAATCCAACTCGGATTACTTGTTTAATTTCATTTCCTTGCTGAATTAGGTTAGTTTCGATTCGTGTTAGGGTTTGTTTGAACTTGTTTAAGCCTATAAAAGGCCTCATTCGTGCATTGTAATTTTCAGAGTGGATTTATGGAGAAAACCCCAAAAATTCTCAAAGTTTGAGTTGCAAATTGTCTTGGTTTTGATTGCGATCAAAGCTTGCTGAACCTTGGCCTATTAATTGAGCAACCCACTCGATTAAATCAAAGGCGACCTCATAACGATCGAGCACTCCTCCAGGTGTAGGAGTTCCCTTTCGTTTCCATCGAAAAACCATTCAAACAAAGCTTGTCGAGCTCGTTTGAATACCCTGTTCTAGCGTTCTTAAACAAGGAATTTGATTACTCTGTATTGAGCTACGTGATTCTGATCGACACCCATCTAGGGTGTTATCAAACTTGAATTTTGAAATTTTTTGCTCCCATCAAACGAGTTAATCGTGATCTATTAAATCTACAAATTTATGGTAAAAAAATATATGAATGTGGTAAATGACAGATCGTATATTCCTACTATAATGCATTTAATCATTATACATTATGATCAATGCAGTTAAAAGCGCGATTCTACCTAAAAGCAGAAAAGGGGTAAAATCGAAAAGCGGTGAATCAAAGCGTAAAAGCGTAAGTTTTTTATGCATCCTGTATAATAGTTAAAATAATGTTAAGTACGGCATAAACTATGTAAAATATGAGTTCACAGAGTTTAGATAAAAGAAAAAATACCTGCAATTCATGTCTAAATTAGAACAAACTCATAACATCATAACAATTAGTTCATAAACATAAATCGTAACCCACAAACGAGTTAAGAATCCAAATGCCTATCAATTTTCAGCCTGCTACTTTAATTGCACCAATTTCATCAATTTTTGAGCTCTTGTCCTGC